AATTAATGACTTCACTAATTACCTCCGGTCCAAACAAGGACCAATGGGCAACTAAATTTGTGGAAAATTACATTTACCTGGATGAATCTCATTACATTCATACAAGCACACAAATAACCCACACATAAAAGAGAAACTTACGACGACGTTTCGGTCCGACTTGCCGGACCGAAACGTCGTCGTATATATGGACTGTATATATGTCGTATATATGGACTGTATATTAAAATTAATAAATGATTGCATATACACATTTATATAACAGAAGGAGAATTTATAATCATAACACTCACCAATTTGTCTGGAGATTACTGTGTATCATATTCAAAAACCTCCCTCTAACTAAATTTATGATGATAATACTGGCCAGAATTACAAACATAATTTAGATAGCTTATCTGAGGTTCCTGGAGCTGTCCTGTACATCGATTTAATCCTCTAATTATGCATAAATGCACATCCAACAATTTTGGCTCCTATTTGAGAGGTGTAAGCCCAATATAACCTCTAGAGCGTCGAAAATTCTTCTTATTTTCACTAACTTTTTCTTGGCTCGTTCAAAAACATGGCGACTCTCCCTGCTTGTCCGTGCAGGCGCCGAGATTCCCATTTTTTATAATATAATTTTTATTAAATACAATATAGGCCATCAATTTACATATAAAATACTGTATTTCCGGAAAATACATACAGTATTTTCCACAGTACTACCCAAATGCTGTCATTTGAGAATTACATAGCATCAAAAGCTAAATCTGAGGGAAAGTTCATCTACAGCCACTTAAGACAGACGACAACTTTGAAAGACCAGGTAATGAAGCTGACGAAGGAAGGAGCTCACTTGGAATTACCAGTAACTCTGTGAGAAGCTGAATGAAATACATAAGGAGGTATTCCTAGTGGAATCAGGAACATTACCAAAAAGCCAAATAGAGTCCACCGACGAACACTGGACACAATGCACACGCCGGAAGGTGAGGTGAAGGTACTACCTAGGAAGCTAGACAACAGGACCAGAAACATCATTCTGTAAGTTCTCTGAAAAGGAGCAGAGGAGCTGCGCGAACCACTAGAAGCCATCTATAGAGCAGAGAGGTGTCATTGAATTACAGGCCAGCGTCACTAACAATAATAATGTGTAAGGTCATGAAGATTATCAGGAGAAGAACAGTGGAGCACCTGTTAAGCGTTGGTTACATAAACAACTTCCAGCATAGTTTTTGTGATGTAAATCCTTGAAGAAGAGAGAAGGAGGGGGAGGAAGGGAGAGAGAGAGAGAGGAGAGAGAGAGAGAGAGAGAGAGAGAGAGAGAGAGATATGGGTAGACTATGTTTTTTGATTGCAAGAAAGCACTCGACACAGTTCACTCCTTAAGAGACTATCAGCAAAGCTAGACGAGAAGAATGAAGAAACGAATTGATAGGAGTTATAAAAAAAAACACTAAAATGCATCAAGAAATACTTAACGGGAAGGAAGCAGTGAGGTAATGTCTGGGAAGAGATGATATAATGGGCGAGTGTGATTTTTGTCGTGTATATATAAACGACATTTCAGAGTAAATCGAATCAGAGGTGTACCTTTTCGCAGATGATATGAAATCAATGAAGTGAACACAAACAGGAACAGACCAAGGAAGATTAGAAATGGATGTAGACAAGTTGGCAAGTAGCATGCTCCTTGCAGAAATTTTGTATCTCATGCCAAGCCTCGATTCCTGTGCACTTGAGTTTGGTCAGGCCTCATTCCTCGGCTGACCTTCGCTCCGATAAACAGCTGCCTCTCCTAGATCTGGCTCTGGCTTCCTCTACACGTTCTGCCTGGTGTTACCGCTTAGCAAATAAACCTCCTGCAGTCAGTCGTGCCTTTGCCTCTACCTCGCTCTGCTACACATCACATCAGCTACTAAGGTAGTCATTTTCAAGGCACGTACAAGGTGGAGTGTTCAGTCAAGAGCTCGAACAATTAGTCCAACAGTAAGATAGGACACGCACAGCAGGAGTGAACCTAGTAGTGATCAGCAGATAGGTGGAGGCCAGGCGCTGAGACTCGACCTGACAATAATAATTAGGTGAGTGGCTTCAGTCACAGTTTCAAGCTATTGTCGTGTTCACTGATGGTTCCAAATTCCCAGATAATATTAGATTAATCCAAGGACATTAGCACAAGTCAGCCAGCATTTTCACAATGGTTATATACATTATTACTCATTGTTATCATACACAGTGTAACTATGTTCGCCTTGTTAATCCTTGTTGTTGACAAACAACGTATATGGCCACAAGTCTTGTGTATTTACTGGTACATAATAAAGACCCAATACAAATGAATCGGTGATAAAGTGAATTTTACAGGCATTTCAGTTTAAGCTTATTTTTTGCTTTAACACAAATATTTTCATGCTGGAGCTTAATAAGAAAAGGGAACAACTAGTGTAGCGAGAGTGATATAACTGAGGATGAAGAGACACACACAGCTGACCAACTTTCAGTATGGTAACCTTATGCTAATGTACATGTATGGCTCGTGTTAAATGACTCGTGTAATATATTTATAATGTACTGAAATTATGTTAATGACTAGGTAGTCAGCATCGCCACCGTTGATCCAAATAACATTAATACTCATAGAGATGGTCACACACTCAACAATCACCTTAATATTCATAGTGATGGTCACACACTCAACAATCACCTTAATATTCATAGTGATGGTCACACACTCAACAATCACCTTAATATTCATAGTGATGGTCACACACTCAACAATCACCTTAATATTCATAGTGATGGTCACACACTCAACAATCACCTTAATATTCATAGTGGTCACACACTCAACAATCACATTAGTATTCATAGTGATGGTCACACACTCATCAATCACATTAATATTCACAGTGAAGGTCACACTCAACTATCACATTAATATTCATAGAGAAGGTCACACACTCATCAATCACATTAATATTCAGTGATGGTAACACATTTATAAATCACATCAATATTCATAGTGATGGTCACACTCTCACCAATCATATTAATATTCATAGTGATGGTCACACTCTCAACAATCACATTAATATTTACAGTGATGGTTACACGCTCATCAATCACATTAATATTCATAGTGATGGTCACACACTCAACAATCATGTTGACATTCATAGTGATGGTTACACTCTCAACAATCACATTAATATTTATAGTGATGGTCACACACTCAACACTAACATTAAAGTGATGGTCACACACTCAACAATCACAGTAAAGTGATGGTCACACTCAACAATCACAATAAAATGATCGTCACACTCAACAATTACAAAGTGATGGTCACACACACTCAACAGTCATATTGAAGTGATGGTCACACTCAACAATCACAAAATGATCGTCACACTCAACAATCACAAAGTGATGGACACACACTCAACAGTCATATTGAAGTGATTGTCACACTCAACAATCACAATAAAGTGATGGTCACACTCAATAATCACAATAAAGTGATGGTCACACTCAACAATCACAATAAAGTGATGGTCACACTCAACAATCACAATAAAGTGATGGTCACACACATTCAACAATCACAAAGTGATGGTCACACACTCAACAGTCATATTGAAGTGATTGTCACACTCAACAATCACAATAAAGTGATTGTCACACTCAACAATCGCAATAAAGTGATGGTCACACTCAACAATCACAATAAAGTGATGGTCACACTCAACAATCACAATAAAGTGATGGTCACACACATTCAACAATCACAAAGTGATGGTCACACACTCAACAATCACATTAAAGTGATGGTCACACACACTCAACATTCACAATAAAGTGATGGTCACACTCATCAATCACAATAAAGTGATGGTCACACTCAACAATCACATTAAAGTGTTTTTGGTTTCACACCAGCAATCAAAATTTAAGTGATGGTCACACTCAACAACCACAATAAAGTGATGGTCACACTCAACAATCACAATAAAGTGATGGTCACACTCAACAACCACAATAAAGTGATGGTCACACTCAATCACATTAAAGTGGTCACACACACTCAACAATCACAATAAAGTGATGGTCACACTAAAACAACCACAATAAAGTGAAGGTCCCCACTCAACAAATCCAATAAAGTGATGGTCACACTCAACAATCACATTAAAGTGGTCACACACACTCAACAATCACAATAAAGTGATGGTCACACTCAACAATCACATTAAAGTGGTCACACACACTCAACAATCACAATAAAGTGATGGTCACACTCAACAATCACAATAAAGTGATGGTCACACTCAACAATCACTTTAAAAGTGGTCACACACACTCAAAAATTTCACAATAAAGTGTGTCACACTCAACAATCACAATAAAGTGATGGTCACACTCAAAAATCACATTAAAGTGGTCACACACATAAACAATCACAATAAAGTGATGGCCCACACTCAACAATCACAATAAAGTGAGGGTCACACTCAACAATCACACAATTAAAAAGTGATGGTCACACTCAACAATCACAATAAAGTGATGGTCACACTCAACAATCACAATAAAGTGATGGTCACACTCAACAATCACAATAAAGTGATGGTCACACTCAACAATCACAATAAAGTGATGGTCACACTCAACAATCACAATAAAGTGATGGTCACACTCATCAATCTGCTTCATCTTATGTAGTTAACAAAATATATTCTGCCCTTTTCTTCAAACTTGTTTTCAAAAAATAAAACTTCCAAATGTCCGAGGAATAAGAAACGGAACATAAGTTTCATTCTAAACTGTATTATTCTAAATTGTCTTATTCTAAACTGTTTTATTCTAAAAAGTTTTATTATAACTGCCTTATTATAAATTGTTTCATTCTAAACAGTTTTATTCTGAATTGTTTTATTCTCAACTGTTTTATTCTAAATTGTTTTATTCCAGACTGCCTCACTGTAACATAACAAACATTGTTAGTGACTCACCAGATTTTTACCGGGTTTGTTGAAAGTTTTCACAGCAGCTGAGCTCCTGGTGACCTGCTGAAGATAAGTTATAACTCAGATGACTACTGACTTAGGTGGGTTACCAGAGACTCAGTTCATTTACTAAAGACTCAGGTGAGCCAGTAGTAGCTCACGTGAATTATTAGTGACTCAGATCAACTACCAACGACTTAGTTCGACTAAAAGTGACTCAGTTCAACTACCAGTGTCTCAGTTCATCTAGCAGTGACTCATTTCAACTGCTAGTGAATCAGTTCAACTACCAGTGACTCAGTTGAACTACTACTGACTCAGTTCAACTACCAGTGACTCACTTCAACTACCAGTGACTCAGTTCAACTACTAGTGACTCCGTTAAACTACTAGTGGCTCAGTTCATCTATAAGGAACTCAGTTCAACTACAAGCGAGTCAGTTCAACTACCAGTGGCTCACTTCAACTACCAGTGACTCAGTTCAACTACTAGTGACTCCGTTAAACTACCAGTGACTCAGTTCAACTACTAGTGACTCAGTTAAGCTACTAGTGACTCAATTCAACTACTAATGAAACATTTCAATTACTAGTGACTCAGTTCGTCTACCAGTGACTCATTTCAACTACTAGTGACTCAGTTCAATTTTCAGTGACTCAATTCAACTAACAGTGACTCATTTCAACTACTAGTGACTCAACTGAACTACCAGTTACTCAGCTCAATTACTAATGACTGTTAAACTAATGAATCTGTTCATTTACCAGTGACTCAGTTCAACTACCAGTGACTTAGTTCAACTCTCAGTGACTCAGTTCATCTGTAAGTGACTCAGTTTTACTACTAGTGACTCAGTAAAACTACCAATGACTCACTTCAACTACCAGTGACTCAGTTCAACTAATGAATCTGTTGATTTACCAGTGACTCAGTGCAACTACCAGTGACTTAGTTTAACTTTCAGTGACTCAGTTCAACTGTCAGTGACTCAGTTTTACTACTAGTGACTCAGTAAAACTACCAGTGACTCACTTTAACTACCAGTGACTCAGTTCAACTAATGAATCTGTTGATTTACCAGTGACTCAGTTCAACTGTCAGTGACTCAGTTTTACTACTAGTGACTCACGTAAACTACCAGTGACTCACTTCAACTACCAGTGACTCAGTTCAATTACTAGTAACTCAGTTCAGCTACTAGTGACTCATTTCAACTACCAGTGACTCAAGTCAACTACTAGGGATTTTGTTCAATTAGCAGTGACTCAGTTCAACTACCAGTGACTCAGATCAACTACCAATGATTCACTTCAACTACCAGTGACTCAGTTCCACTTCTAGTGACTCAGTTAAATTACTATTGATTCAGTTCAACTAATAGTGGATCAGTTTAACTACTAATTACTCAGTTCAACCACTAGTTGAAGATTGAGACACTTATGCAGCATATGGGAATCTTTATTCAGGAAACGTTTCGCCGCACAGTGGCTTCATCAGTCCAATACAAAGAGGAAGGTGTAAGGAGAGGAGGAGAATGGGGAACAGTCCCTAAACCCTGGAGTCGATTGTTCATCCTAAATTTGTAGAAAGTGGGTTTTTTTAAAAATTCATCACAATTCAGACATCAGCATCGGGGGAACTGAAAAAAGTTTTCTTCAACATTTGTTCAACCTTTTGGACGAAGACCTACTAATAGGGTGGTCCCACTATGATCCCCCCCCCCCGTTTCACCCCACCCACTAAGATTAACCACTCAGGCCCTAGCGACTTCTAAAAGATGATGGACTGAACAATCGACCCCGGGGGTTGGGGGACTGATACCCACACCCCCTCTCCTTACACCTTCCCTTTGTTTTGGACTATGAAGCCACTGTGGGCGAAACTTTTCCCCTAAAAGATCCCATATGCTGCATAAGTGTCTCAATCTTTCAACTTGTGGGTTTTTTTTTCAAACCTTTCATCACATCCAACCACTAGTGCTCAGTTGAACTGCTAGTACTCTTTTCAGAAATCGTGACTCATTTCAATACTTCTGACTCAGTTAAACACCATGGAGTCATTTTCAACATTTGTGCCTCTTAAAAAACATGATCCTTTCAGGCAAGTGACTCAGTCAACTATCTGAATCAGTTCAACTCCCAGTGACTCAGTTAACTACAGTGACTCAGGCGAAACTCTAGTGATTGGGGAAATTTTTTAAGGCTATTTTTTTAAATTTTTCAATATTTTTTAGTGTTTTAGCAAATTAACTGTGACTCACTTAAAAGTGAGGGGTCATTCAACAACACATTAAAGGGTAAAACCCCATCAAATCCTTTAAATTGATGGCACTAAATAAAAAAAAAGGGCCAAAATACCGTGACTGGAACGTATACAAATAACCCCGACAAAAAAGAGAAAGCTTACGATGATTTTTGGTCCGACGGGACCATTGAAAAAGTCACACTAACCAAGTGGGCAGGAGGCATAAAAAGGCAGAAAGGTGGGGTATAGAGTGTAGAGTACAAAAATTTATATAAACCGAAAAGATAAATTTAAAAGACACAGCACAAAACCCCCGGGGGAAACACCATCGAAAAGGGTTTCGCCATCCACCATCATAGCCTCCTTTTTGCGGTCTTCTGCTAAAACTGTTTTCCCCCTACTTCCACCGAACAGTCGCCGCAGTTGAATCCCTCTAATACACAACTTTCCTTGATGAGCCTTGCCCGGGGTTCGTCCTGTAGATGCCTTGTAAAATTCCAAACTTCAGAAAACCCTGACCTTCCCCGAACCTCATTTTTTTTCTTTTTTTTTCTTCTTTTCCCTCCCCTTTCCCCTTTTCCTTTTCTCCTCTGGGTTGTCTTTCTCTCCCTGTCTCGTGTTTCTTTTCCTTCTTCATTTATTTCACCACTTTCCCTTTCACGCACCTCTGTGCGCTTGCTCTCCCTCTGTGGGGATCAGCCCTTTCAGTGCTCCCCTTCCCTTTTTATTTTTCTGGCCGTCTTCCTATTTCCCCACTTCACCACCCCCCACTACATTTTTCCTTTCCCTTTTTACTACTACTACAACTACTGATGAAATTGAGACCCAGTGCGGCGTCGGTTTTTCTTTGTTGTGGAGTTTTTCCATCCATGGCTGGTGGTGGCAAACTCTACGATGGGGATGCCCGGGTGTTTTGGGGATGTGTCTTAATTTTAAACTTGTCGGTATAATACAATTTTTGTACTACACTACTACCCTTTCCACCCCCTCTTCCGCCTTATATACCGCCCCCTCCACCTCCTGTTAGTGTGACTTTGTCAAGGCCAAGTCCGCCCGAAAAAGCGTCGTAAGCTTCTCCCCTTTTATTTTCTGGTTATTTGTTATTGAGGGCCACTCGCAATCAGTAAAATGATGTAACCTCAACAGTCACATTAAATGATGGTCACCTCAACAATCACATTTAAGGTGGTCATACACTTAAACAGTCCAAAAAAGTGATGGGCACACATCAACAATCACATAAATGATGGCACACACACCAACAATCACAATAAGTGATGGTCACACTCAAAAATCCAATTTAAAATAGGTCACATCACAATCACATTTAAAATGGGTCACACTCAGCAATCCAAAAAGTAATGGAACTCATCAACAGTCACATTAAGTGAGGCAACACACTCAACAATCACAAAATGTGGTACATCAGCAAACACATTAAAGTGATGGCATCCTCAGTCACATTTAAGTGAGGTACACCAAAAAATCACATAAAGTGTGGTCACACCAACAATCAAAATAAAGGATGGTCAACTCAACAATCCATTAAAGTGGCACACACACCAAAAATCACAATAAAGTGATGGTCACACTCAAAAATCACAATAAAGTGATGGCAACTCAACAAACCCCCAATAAAGTGATGGCACCTAAAAAACACAATAAAGTGATGGCACACTCAACAATCACATTAAGTGGTCACCACACTCAACAATCACAAAAAAGTGATGGCACACTCAACAACACATAAAAGGGCACACACACTAACAATCACAAAAGTGACGATCACACCAACAATCACATTTAAAGGGGCACACACTCAACAATCACAAAAAGGTGGGGCACACTCAACAATCAATTAAAGTGGCACACACACTCAAAAAAAACACAAAAAAGTGATGTTCACACTCAACAATCACAAAAAAGTGAGGGGACACTAAAAAACACAATAAAGTAGGGCACACTCAAAAAATCACAAAAAAGGATGGCACACTCAACAAACACATTAAAGGATGGGACCCTCAACAATCACATTAAAGTGGTCACACACACCCAAAAAATCATTAAAGTGAGGTCCCCCACCAAACAATCACAAAAAGTATGGTCAACTCCCAAAAACACATTTAAAATGGGCACCTCAACAATACAATAAAGTGATGGGCACAAATCAACAATCAATTAAAGTGTGGTCACACTCAACAATCACAATAAAAGTGATGGTCACACTCAAAATCAAATAAGGAGGTCACACTCAAAAAAAACCCCTTAAAGTGGGCACCACACCAAAAAATCACAATAAAATGATGGTCACACCAAAAAACACATTAAGTGGTCACACAAACTCAACAAATCCAATAAAGTGATGGTCACCTCAACAACCAATAAAATGTTGGCAACTCAACAAACAATTAAAGTGGCACACCACTCAACAATCACAATAAAGGATGGCACACTCAACAATCACAAAAAGGTTTGGCACACCCAAAAATCACAAAAAATATGGCACACTCATAAACCTTTTAAATGGTCACACCACCAACAATCCAATAAAGTGAGGTCAACTCAAAATCACAATAAAGTATGGGGCACACTCAACAATACATTAAAAATGGCACACACACTCAACAACACAAAAAAGTGATGGGCACACTCAACAATCACAAAAAAATGATGGTCAACTCAACAATCACAATAAAAAAATTCACACCAAAACCCAAAAAAAGTGTGGTCCACTCAAAATCACAAAAAAGGATGGTCACACTCAACAATCACAATAAATGATGGCACCTCAACAATCAAAATAAAGGATGGTCACACT